TGCATCACTGTTACCATGACCACCATGTATTCATGAGTCCTTTGGGTAAGAACAGAGGTATCTGAAGCAAAAGGCTGACTGCTTTTTACAGATTGGGTCATTATATCAACATGCTGATTAAAATCTTCCTTTTCTGAAATCACTTGGATAAGCATTCTCATTAAAAACAAAATTTTTAAGTTTATCACCTACTAAAAACAGTAAATCCTCATGATTTTTTCCAAATTTTCTAGTGACTAATTTTCTAATCAGGTTTCTTTGAAAGCTCTCATCTTTCATCCAATCCACTGACCATAGACTACATATCTCTCTGTATAACTGAATGTCTGGGGATTTCTCTGGTCATTTCTCTTTTTCAGCAAAATAAACAACTCAGTTCATCCCTCAAAGTACTGTCAGATGGAAGTACTACCCCTATCAATATCCTATCATGATGCCCCAGAAAGGGGATATAGTAATGTAGCCATCACTTCTGGATACTAGAATTTGTTACTGAATTGTCTATATCTATCTTAATCCCTCTCTTCCACTGTCAATTTATCACATGAAACTCCACACAAGGCCTTAGCTGCAAGCTAAGAAAAAAGAAGGTGATGTAGCTGGACTGGAAATTGGGAAAATTTGGGTCAATTTTTGTGTAATTCATTTATACCTTCTGAAATATAAACAAAGCCATTTATACTTTCAGAGTCCCTTTGGGCCAGATTGCATTTATTCACTTTCATTTGAAGAAGTACTTCTCTGCACACCTAATTTTATGATATAGTGGACCTATAAGACTGAACTCATGATGGATACCTCAGATTTCACAGGAATTTAATGGACTGCGGTGAAGAATTCAGTCTAATAAATTTCATTAATAGACTAAGGGGTGCTTCTCCAAAAGAAATGTTATTTTCAGCAAATGGCAGGGTTTATCCTATGGTTGTGCAGCAGTTCACCTATAGACACCTACAAACATCATCAAACAGCATTTAACTGCCTTTGCTATTCCAGGTACTATTGTATCTGCTGGAATATATAGCCCAATTGGCAGGCAGATTGCACAGCGACCTATATTTCTTACATAGCCTTCACCTGATTGAGTCCCATTCAGAAATAATATTTTGGTAATGAACTAGAGTAACAAACACATGTGAGGAATAAGTTCTCTCCAAAATCCAAATGTCCCACAAGACATTGTGCTCTTTTTGATGTGGAGGA